TTTTATATTTTATTTAAAAAAAATTAAATTCCTTTCGCTTAAATCAATATATCATTAGTCTAAAACTTTAATTATTTATGTTTGTTTAGTATGGTTTGGATTTTTAAATTTTTATACATTTAGTAATTAATGTTATATTTTAATTAAATTTAATATATTCAAAATTTTATAATACATTTAATTTTTAAATATAATTATTATTATTAAATATGAAAAAAAAAAGTCAAAACCGAACACTAAAATTAGTGGGGAAAAAATAATGAAGTCATTGGACGACAACGTGGGCGGCAGGATTCGAACCTGCGCGGGCAGAGCCCACATGATTTCTAGTCATGCCCGATAACCACTCCGGCACGCCCACTTGGTTGATTGCTTTTCTACCTATTTATTTTTATCTTTCGAAGAGACATACCTGGGAGGACAAACTTGTATTAGATGACTGTTTATTGGCTGTTTGTCAGCCCTCTTCTCCGCCACTGCTCAGAGTTCAAAGTTGAAACAGGTTAGAAGAAGCAAGCACCATTCTTGATATTGCTTCCTATGCTATTTTTCTAGATTTTTCTTATTGTAAGAATCCCTCCTTTTCATGGGTACACTTCATCATTATTCATTTTTAAGTTCCCCATTGAAAATTGGGTTCCTTTTGTTCAGTATGAACTTTCTGTGTATTCTTGTTGGTTTACAACTTTTAAGCATGGAATTTCAATTGGGCATCTAACAATTTTATGTCTTTCTATCAGTTTCTGCTCAAAACCTTAAGCTTGATGTGGGTTTTGCATTTTTTATCTTCTTCCTTTAGTTTGCACTTGCAACTTGCTCACTACCTGTTTGATGTTTTGCAGAGCCGTTTGATGGCTTCTACATTTTTTAGAACCATTCAAACACACCCTTTCTTGCTGCTCCATCCAACTGCAGTTTTTAGAAGAAAGAATGGTGTTCTGCGTTGCACAATGAGAAGTACCCAAACCCAAACTCCTACCCAAGAGAAGCAGCAATCTCCCCAAATCAAGTTTTCACCACAAAACCCGAACAAAACATTTTATGAGATACCAAAAGGTTATGAGGCTATTATTGGTATAGAGACCCATGTCCAGCTATCCACCCTCACCAAGGCCTTCTGTGGCTGTCCTTGCAATTATGGGTCTCAACCAAATACGAGCATTTGCCCAGTCTGTATGGGATTGCCTGGCGCCTTGCCAGTTTTGAACTCAAAAGTCATTGAGTTTGCAGTGAAATTGGGTCTTGCACTTAATTGTAAGCTGTCCTTAAACTCAAAATTTGATAGGAAGCAATACTTTTATCCAGACCTTCCCAAGGGTTACCAAATATCTCAGTTTGATATGCCAATTGCAACTGGCGGTTACATTGATTTGGATCTTCCTGTTGAGTTTGGTGGTGGGCATAGGAGGTTTGGTATTACCAGGGTTCACATGGAAGAGGATGCGGGAAAGCTACTTCATTCAGAAAATGGGGACTACTCTCAGGAAATTACTTCTCCAACTTTACAGTAGTATTCTTTTTTTCCCCCCCTGCATATATAAGAATATAAATTTTCTGCTTTGCAAGATGCTATTAGTGTCTTCTGCTCATTCATGCTCATTTTTCGTGGTTCAATGGTAATTGGGTATGTGGAATGTGGATTAACTCAACTTCCAAAATGTTGGCACTTTATGTCCTGAGATGTTATGAAGATGATATTTTGATGGGAGAAATAAAGTTACTCTGTTATTTTCTTTTTCTTTTTCTTTTCTACTTACTTCAGAGGAACTCCAGGTAATATGCCTATATCATATCCTTTTTGACACTGCTGGTTTTTTCTTTTGCAGGTTGATCTAAATAGAGCAGGGGTTCCCTTGCTTGAGATTGTTTCTGAACCTGATATGAGAAATGGAATGGAAGCTGCTGAGTATGCAGCAGAGTTACAGAGGTTGGTTCGATACTTGGGAGTGAGCAATGGAAATATGCAAGAAGGTTCACTTCGGTGTGATGTAAATGTATCAATTCGACCTGTGGAGCAAGAAAAGTTTGGAACAAAGGTAACAGTTAGTATTTTCTGTATTGTAAGGAACTGGGATACATGCTGTATTATAGTCTCCTTTTTTCTTTTTTTTTTTGGTGGTAGGGATATCTGATTTAATTAGTAGATAGCTGCTAGGTTTTGTTAAATTCCAAAGTTTGGTATGTGAATACAAATAGAATTAGCAATACAGTGAGTGGAGGGGTAAAGCAACTTATGTCAAGTAGACAAAACAAAAGTGTTTAGTTAGTATGGCAAAGTATTTAGAGATTCAGTGTCTTTGGTCATTAAGGTTGTGTGAGATTATTCATTGACAACAAAATATTGGGGTAGATGTGTGTATGAAAATGTCTGATTTAATTCAAGCCTGAACTAAATTTTGGACCACTTTATGATTAACACTGAGTACAAGCAACAATTAGAAATGATTTAAAAGAGGCACATGTCCCTTATAATGTTATTTCCGTATGTGTGTATTGTATCTACTATTAGTTTAATGATGAGAAAAGAAATGCTATGCTTGTGCAGGATTAAACTAGAATGATGACACTCAAAGTTTGCTGTGAGAGAAAAATGTAAAATTGGTGGAGTGGCTGGGTGTAGCAAGCATCTTATTTCACATCATATGACCCTATATAACTTGTCGTATAGGCTTCAAAATTACTATCCACAATGTTCTGAGCTGATTGTGTTTCTTGAGAGTAGTGAGGAAAGTTCTGATTTCTTGCATTGCTTTCCCTTGTTTTATCTCCTCCAAAACAAACAGATATCCTACGTTGTGGGTCAAATATTTTGTTGCAGACTTGCAGTAGTCCCAGCTAGGATGATTATTATTATTATTATTATTATTATTATTTTTCCTTTTTGCATTAATTAACTAGTTAAATTGCTAATATGCTGTTCTGTGTGAATCAGTTTTCATAAGCACCATGTTACTTGGAGTCTCAGACAGCTGACATATATAATCCTGTTTTTAATTGGCAGGTTGAGATAAAAAATTTGAACTCATTTTCAGCAGTTAACAGAGCCATTGATTTTGAGATATCAAGACAGGTGCTTCTTCATAGTCAAGGCCAAGGAGATCAAATTGTACAGGAAACTCGTCTATGGGAAGAAGGCAGCCAAGTAATAGCTGCTTCTTAATTTCAATTTTGTGCCAAAGTAAGAGATTCTTTTACCAAGTTATTTCATTGTTTCTTATTTGCTCCATAAACCTTGTCATGCTCTTTAGGAAACATTTACAATGAGAAAAAAGGAAGGACTTGCTGATTATAGATATTTCCCAGAGCCAGACCTCCCAGAAGTTATCCTCACCAAAGAATATGTTAATAGCATTCGTAATACTTTGCCAGAGCTTCCAGAAATGAAGCGTCGGAGGTATGAGAAAATGGACTTAAGCATGCAAGATGTCCTCTACCTAGCAAATGACATAAATGTAAGTCTTCAAAGTAGCTTTCTCTTCTATAATGGCTGAGAATACATCCCTTGGCATTTAGAAATTTACTAACATGGATGGCAGGGCAGAAATTCACGTTGCATTGCATTGCTAGATTAAACATAAGGATAAAATTCCATCAAGGAACTGGAAAAATAAACATATGCAGTAAAAGTTTATACCATTTGTGGCCAGTTGCTCCTAAAACTGCCCCCATGCCTTTCTTGTTTTGTGGTATGAATCCCCCAAGTTACTACATAGGTCAAACCTTCTTCCTGCCTTTCTTTTCCTAATTTTTACTTTATGGGCTTGATCCCCAGGATGTCCTAATGTTTTATCTCCAGAGAATCTTTCACTGATGTTCTACTTCTAGTCCTTTCACCCTTCAGCATATAAGACATTGCAAATCAGATTGAAATGGTCATAACTGATTTTTCCTTGTCACTTGTATTAGGTTGCAGATTATTTTGATGCTACAATCGCAAGGGGTGCTGATGCAAAGCTGGTTGCCAATTGGATAATGGGTGATATAGCTGCCTACATGAAAAATGAAAAGCTCTCTATTAATGATGTCAAACTTAAACCAGATGAGCTAGCCAAGCTTATAGCTTCTATTAAAAGTGGGACAATTAGTGGAAAGATTGGGAAAGAGGTAAAAGTTTGCTTCTGTTACTAACAATATTTTTTCATTCAACCTTTGCTAGTTATCCACATCTAATGATTTCCATGGAAGAATTTTCATTTCTCATACCCAATTGTCTAAAAGTTACTGAATATTAGTCCAGATCTATTTTTCTTAGTCTTTTTCTCTGTTTACTTACAGTACAAGAAAGTGTCTGCACATACTATTCATCGTGTGAGCTTGCACTTAGTTTCACAAATCATCTCTGTTTAGCATCTTTGGAAAGCACAGCATGTTGCTGTCATTCTCTGCATAAATAGATGAGGAAGAAGGAAATCACAATAGCCATCTACTGAAACATCTTTTTCTTTGGAGAAGTGTTACTGTTATGATTCTATTAATTTCACCCAAAATATTGCAGATACTGTTTGAGCTGCTGGCTAAAGGTGGAACTGTCAAGGGTTTGATAGACGAAAAGGATCTGGTTCAGGCAAGTTCACACTTTCTCAATGAAGCTCGTTCCAAATTGAGAATATATCTTTTGATATTGACTCAGAAGTCAATTTTTAGTAAAGTCCTGATGTTGATTTGATAGGGTTATTGAACCTTTCATATCTTCTGGACTTTACAGATAGTTGACCCTGTTGAGATTGGGAAAATGGTAGATAAAGTGCTCTCTGATAATCTGAAGCAGCTAGAACAATACCGTGGAGGAAAAACTAAACTGCAGGGTTTTTTCACTGGCCAGGTATGTGAGTTGTCAATTATTGAATGAAGCTTTCTTTTATAAATCATAACATTTCCTTCCTGTTGTAGCAAACCTTTGACTGAGGATTACTGGCATATGCAGGTAATGAAAATTTCAAAAGGCAAAGCAAGTCCTGGGCTTCTAAACAAGATCCTTCTGGAGAAACTAAATGCCAAAAACTAAAAATCTTATGGATGAGGTAGCTGAGGGCTGATCCCACTTTCCTCCACAAGTAAACACAGGTAGTTCCCAACAAATAGAGATTTGCTGAGCAATGAAGAAAATTTCCTTTCTCCTAGTCTAATGGGGTATGAATGAGAAAGGGGTCGAAAATACTGATTAGCGTTGCTCAAGTTCTGCCAATATATACTGTTGACGGATAGGAATACACATTAGTCAGCAAAATGAAATTAGTTGTAGACTTGGTATTTGCTATTATTTTCCAAGTTAATAATCTCAACAGCCAATTGTTAAATGAATTACTGGATGTTATTACCATCTCTCTCCACTTCTGTTGCTAAAGCAGTGTGGAAGAGATAAAAAATCATGGATTCTGGCCTAATATCACAAGGTCACACAAAAAGGGCCACTCAAAATAATGAAGAGATGGAGATTAAGCAGAAGTTACGTTTAACACGTATCTACTTTTTTTCTTCGATTGAGATTTAGGCCACTCAAAATAATGAAGATTTATGAGGAAAATGCAATGAATGTTGAAAGCTATAAGAAGTATGGTTCATTCTCCCTTGTATTCCTATTAACGATGCTCTATAGCCTAGCCCTGAAAAAGGTGTGTGCACACAGAACTGAAAATAAGATACTTTTTCACATTTCCCTGTTGTGGCTCCATTAGTGGTCGTTGCAGCCCAACAGGGCTGTTGATGGATTACATCCTTAATCAGTGGTCGAATCTTGCCATGAGTATGTATTAACTTAACTTTTAATTTCTAATCATTGCCCTTGTCAAAAAAAAAAAAAAAGAAGAAAATAAGATACTTTTCAGTGTGTGGTTGCCTGACAAAACAGCATACCATTGCTAACAAAAATTATACGGTTCAAAGTTCATCCCGCACGGGTTGGCCCAAAGGGATTTCCAAATTGGGAACTGCATTATCGTGAAATTGAGCTGCGTTAATAACATCTTCTACAGCTTGTGGAGCATTTGCTGCCTGTCTAACCATGCCAGCTCTAATGGCAGCAGTGACTGTCCTCTGCAACTTTAGAAGGCCAATGCGCTTTGAAACAACATAGAGCACAGCACAAGAGAACAAGAAAAATCCAGCTATGAGTATTAGCCTGCCCAAATAAACTCAGAATAAGCAGTGACATCTTTCAGATAATTGGTTGCTGAAAGAATTTAATGGAGAACCTAAATGCCTTCTACCTGTCAATAACATCCTGACGTTGCATGGTAGAGAGTAGATTTCGTGTTCTCATTAATAGTGAACGGTGCCCCTTGTATTCACTTTCAGCCTTCTTCAATACTCCCGTTGATTCCTCTACAAACCAAAAGATCAAACATTAGTAAACACAAATCTAACTCAAAGGATATCAGTGTAGTCTAGGATCAGAACCATTTTTTCCTAAGAACTTTCTCAAAATCCTAATCTGAATCTAAGCCGTCATTCTGCTGACATGTATGTCTGCAATCATACCTCATACATAACCAGGTTTGTCTTATTTACATGGACCTTGAGATTCATCCTGCAACATCAAAGTTTTATTTAACTCTTTTTTGCACATTGATCCCTTTCATTTATTACTAACATTGGGTGTGAAGTTTCAACTCAACCAGCTGCAAATTCTTGATTCAAGAACCATATGTTTGCATAGACACAAACAAAATCTCACTTATGTATAAGGGAAGATCCATGTAGTTGGATTCCTACTGCTGTAACCAAATCTGAAGGTCCACTCCATGGTTCTCTTCTTTAAATTAGGATTTCAGTTCTTGCCTCAAGTTATCCAAGTCCAGCATTAAAGCTGAACTAAATACATTAACCATATAAGATGCAGGGGACTGCTACCCCGATTAAATGGAAGACTTTCCAAAGTTGTAACCTGCTAGAAGAATATGACACTATTCAAACTTCATCTGGCAACAAGAAGTTAAATGAGTATGGGTGACAAGACATGAACTTTTTGAAACATATTAATTATAAAATCCTCAACTTTTAAGGGAAGATACAGTCTCATGTTCATTTTCCCTATCCTATTTAAAAACTTAAATTTTCACTTTTTGTTCTAATTTAAAAAAAAAAAAAAAAATCACTTATGAATGAAATCCAAATTGGCCAACTTGCAAATACATAGATAAACTGCTAGAAGGGATACAAAAAACGCTGTTCCATCATAAAAATGTAAATGCTCACACAAAAGGCAGAAAGAAAAACCTACCAAAAGTCATAAGCGTACTTGCACTCCTTTCCACCTCCTAGTAAGCACAATGAAATACGGCAAGAACCAAATGAGCAACCCATCAAAGATTCATAGTATGAGCCCATAAACGATATCATGAACAGAAGCAAAGGAAAGAGCATTACCAACCTGAACCATCAGTTGACGGGTACGGCGAAGACTCTCTGTGATGCTTTCTGCAGCAGATGTCATTCCAGCCTTCGTCCTGGAGATGAAAAAGACTAAGTAAATAAACAAGGTGAACGGAGAAAATCAATCTGCCTTATAATGAACTGAATTGACCAGCATAGCTATATTGTAGAAAAAATGAATTAAACTTTAATCACTATATCACTGAAGGCTAAAAGAGAATGAAACATACTGCAGATTACGCCGGCGAATTGTGGATTCCTCTCCACCACCAAGAAGAAGTTCTCTCTACAATAAATAAAAGTATAAAACCATATAATATCAAGACTATAACCTCAATCTCTCTCAAAAAAAACCTCTTTATTAAAAGGAAACCATTTAATATTTAGTGACAACAAAAAGGATTGCTGTAAACGGAAAAGATACTAGCATCTTCTCATCATAATGACAAACACATTGTCTTAAACAAAAGAGATATCAGTATTTTCTCATGGTAGTGATGGAACATAGTTATTTCATGTAGACAACTCAATCTTCTTAAAAGAAATACATTACCTCTTCCTGAGCAGTTTTCCTCATGTTAGCTTTTGCTTGCAAATTAGCATTCCTAAGACTCGATCTCAAGCTGATTACAAAAACAAAAAGCAAGTTTATCAGAAGATAAATAATAACAAAAAGACTTCAATATGCTTTTGCTGAATCATGGAAAACAAACTGGATAAAAAATCAATAAAGCTCCCAAGAATCCACCAGCAAATGCCCCATTTGATCAACAAAGTAAGTGTTTCAGATATATATAGATTCATGGGTCTAGTACTATTGCTTACACAAAAATCATATTTCCCCTTTTTCCTACCTCCTCAGAACTCTCTCCATTTACTCCACATTCTCACTTTCTCAGTAACCCAACAAATCCTATTCCTTCAGCTTCCAAAATAATGAACAACCATGCCCCTACATTCCATCCCCCAATTTCTCAATTATTAGATTAAAAAAAAAAAGAAAAAAAAAACTCATTTATTCATAAAGTGAGAATAGAGAAGGTACTTTTGGTATTGTTTCCTCCATGATTCAAGCAAAGAAGTAGCAGACTGGATCTCCTCGACAGTGGGCAGCTGTGGGGCGAGAAGATCGAGATTGAACTGCAGCGAATTAAGCACGGCCAAGCCATCTTGAGCCAACGCATTCAATCTTTGGAGTGAATTCTGGTTCTTGTTGTTCTCTTCAGTTCTCGATTTGCCGTAATTTTCAATTGCATTTATATGCTCCTGCGTCTTCGCGTACGCCTCATCCCACTCTTTCTTCGACTTCTCCACTGCTTCAACCACCTTATCCATTCTCAGTCTGGATCTTACGCTGTTTGGTTGATAGGAAAACCAAGGAAACTGAAGGGAAAAACTTTCTGGAGGTCTGATCTGATCGGACGAACCTGATTGCTAAAACCGCAGACCAGCAAAGATCGAGACTTCACCTGAATACCACCATGGCAACGTCGCCGTTTAATTCTGTCTTTTTAAATAACGGTATTTTTAGGATATCAGTATTTCTCCATCAAAATCAAACCGTACTCCACTTAAACATTAATGGATTGGGCAGGGCAGGCTCAAGTATTTATAGCCCACTTCTCTAGTGCAAAACAACATCCCTCGTAAACGAAAAATTGAAATATAATTATAATGTTTTATGATATTATACAATTATAATACAAAATATTATTATAAAAAATAAAGAAAATTAAGATAATTTAACATTAAAAATGTTATTACAAAATTAATATCAAAATATTTTAATTTTTTATTATAAAATTAATTAAAATTTTACTTCTTATATTATATATATTTATTTATTTAATAATACGTTATAATTATAAATTAATTAATAATATATATTTTAATATTTTCTATTAATGAAATTTTTTATCTATATTTTAAAAGTTTGAGGTGATGATTCAACAATAATATTTTTCCACGGCGAAGAAAAAAAAAAACATAAAATATTTTTTCACGAACCCATTCCCGCCAAGGAGCTTAATTTCAGCAAAGGAACTCGGTTCAACCGTTCAATAGCCCCTTACTCCTACAGAAGCGGTAAATGGATGAAAATAGGTACATCTAACAATGTGGCCTTTTCTACATGAATATTAACAAAATATCTCCGCTTAGCCTACTGAGATGATGCAAATACACAGCAAGTGGGGCAGCTGATATCAAAAACAAAATTGCTGCAGCCTCTGCATCTTTGATCTAAAGTCGTATTTGGTTTTGTCACCGAATTTCATGCATATACACTCAATAGGATTACTCACCGGCACCAATCCCTTTATCGTTACCTCTCACTTCGGGTTGAGTGTATAGAATGAAGGGACGACAGTTGCAGTTTCATTGTAGGACAGTGACACTACCAGATGAGAGAATGGATGTGCCGAAATTGCGGTGCTTACCATCAGCCAAGTTGGTGAGAGGAAAGCCTTGACTACTGAACTGGTTGATGAGAAGAGTTTCTACTTGGCACGCTATGCTTTTCCCAGGAACCATGAAATAGAGGAATGAAGCCGTCTGCATCCCTTCCTTTGAACGGTGTGAACGGATTCGGCCATCAAGATCATCCGTCTAATGCAGCAAAATACAAGAAAAATGAAACAAAATTAGAGTTTAAGCGCAATATATGAAGCCATAGAGTTTGGACTGGACCACAAACTAGGAAACTGAATGTAGTGTTATCCAACTGGACGATCTATCTAAGACATTATGGCACATAATGTGGTGCAGTGAAACTCCTGACTGTGACCCGAAACAAAGGATAGAACAATGAATATGGAAAAGTAAATACCTGTCCAACATAGAGTTTCTTATCAGGTCGGAACATTACATAAACACAAGAAGCGCCTATGGTTGACGGAGGTGGTTGTTCCCTTGCAGCAATAGCAACACACTTTAACAATGGAAGATCTGATATATTTTTCTGTTCATAGAGCTCCATTAGTTTCTTCTGACATATGAAGGTAATAGCACTCTCAACTTCCTTCTGTAAGACTGCCATGGTGTTTGTGGGCTCCTTCATCAGATCAAGAGACCTTGCTTGACTCTTTGATTGAACTGAGACCGAACAATCAGCCCTCAGATCCAAGTCATGTTGTCCTAATTGTTTGTCAAATGATCCTGATAATACTTCTTTCTTATAAACTGATGAATAAAGGTCTTCAGCTCTTTGGATTAATGTTTCAGGAATTCCTTCCTTCTTAGCTGTTTCAAATGCAAGGCTTTCTCTACAAATCCCATCTATTAACTTCCAAGTTGGTTTTGTTTGCCCATCAACATATTTTGTGCCCATTGCTTTATACACAACATTTTTGGTGTTAAGTGGCAAGGTAAAAACACCATGCAAGTGAGTGGATACAATACCCAGACAACCAATGTTATCAAGAGTCTCAACAAAGCTACCAGCAATACAAGTTCCTTTTGCTGTTTCTGTTCCCCGGCAAATTTCATCTACAAGCACAAGGCTTCTAGAAGTGGCTCCATTTATGATAGATCGGATCTCTGACATTTCGACCTGAGAATTGTGAGTAGGGTGCACGGTTTCGACAACATAAGTAATGATTGAAAAAGAAGTATAACTTAGAGCAGTTCATTTAAAGTTCAAACTTCTTCCACACACAATATGCACTCCTGATCTAAGCTATTCTACCATATAATCCAACAAGTAAATTCAGTTTCAAGAAATGTGTTGTCCCCTAATTTCTGAAACTGATCATGCAGTTGCAATTAGAATTTAGAGCGCACAAGCACAAGGATCATAAATGGACTGGATTTCAAATCAGACTTGTAAAAATGCTATAAAAATAAAACAAGAGGATCCAATTCCCAATGTATGGGCATGTGATAACCCAGAAGTGCTTGAAATGAACATATTTCAATGTCTACAGCTAAATATAAAGGGATAATAGATTTGTAGACAAAACCCAATTGATATACATGGATGTAAAATGAGTTTTCACAATTCTCCTAATCAAAAGTAAACTGGAAAAGGAAGGGGGATGAAGGATAGGGGAATCATCTGAACCAAGTTAACCAAAGATGTAATTTTGCTAAATTGCGCTAGTTTGTGACACACTCCTGTGTGTGACCAAAAAATGTAAGAAAAGACAGATTTTGTGAAGCCTCTATTTCAAGGACAAGTATCATCCAATTTCCTTGTTGGGGTTCACTCTTGCTAGCATATCATAGAAAACATTTTCTACTCAAAACAGACTAAAAAGTGAGAACTAAATGTGGAATAGAAGAATAGCATACCTGAAATGAACTTTTTCCATCAGCTGGACTATCGTAAGATTTCATGTGAAGCATGATAGAATCAAATTGAGGGATTAATGCTGACTCAGTAGGCACCATAAATCCACATATTCCTAGTAATGCAGCAGCACATATTGATCGTAGTAAACTTGATTTTCCTCCACCATTTGGTCCTGTCAAAAGAAATAGTGATCTCATATCGACTGTATTATGCACAGCACTCCCTTCTGCCACATCAAACCAGTATGGTCTTAGACCAATTATCTTCATCACTTTTGTTCCATCAAATGATTCTCTGCCCTGCAAAAAAACATAAAATATTAGAAGTCATTTACGTATATTAATTGAATGATGATCATAATGGTAAAAGGTAATAACAGATGGATGGAACCCCAGACAAAGGCCCCACCAACCAGAAGGAGGCAGCGAAAATGACAGGCAAATCAGATTTTAGGCTACAATTTTAGTTGAGACTATAGAAAAAAATCCTCTCCCTCAATACCTCCCCACCCCTCTCTTTCTTCTCAAGGCACCATACCTTCAGCTTTGAGGAATAAGGTAACAAACAAGTTACAAATCATATGTACAGTCGTTTCAGAAATCTTTAACAAAATTACAGCTCTTGTGATGGATATAAAAGAATGATGAAATTTTAATCTCTATCCAGCATATACTAGCTCATAGGAATGAGAATGGGAAATTGGCTTTGCCATATCATATTGTCAGGATTACATAAATTATTTTTTGAAAAAACTATTATATTCATCCCCCATATAGTTTTATTTCAATAAATACCTGACAAAATGACATTAGTAAAAGAAAAACATACATTGACTTTTTAAACGTTACCTTAGACCCATTGAATCCAGCAAGTGTAGGGAAAACCCATTTCCTTCTTCTCCCCTCACTGTGAAATATCAATGAAAAGATTAGAATATAGTTGGCAAGATTAACACAGAAGTAATGGTAATTCAGATAAATTTACTCATCAGGTACTAGAAATTTTACTAAACATTTAACATGTCTATAATACAGCAATATGGATAACATTAAAGTGAGTTTCTGATCATGTGTTAAGATAATAAAATTGTTTGGGCTTGAAGGTAGATTGTGCTTCATATTGATGCTCTGGGTAAATAAAATCAAATGAAGCAACGCAGACATTATTCGTTTTGATAAAATTTTGGATAAACACAAATAAAAAATAAAAATTTTAAGTTCATATACTTTCATTTTTACTAGGTTTTATAACATTTCTATCTGCAAGACATCCTGATATCATCACGTACTTTTCTGTTCTCTATGCTAGCTTTTATGCAATGCTAGCTTTAAAATCAGCATTCTAAAGGAAATACACAGAGAATAAGCAACAGACTCATGATAAGCCATATATCTGACCTCACATGAGCAAATAATGCCTTCCCAATAACAAGCAGCATGGAACCAAAGATAAGGATATTTATTTTCATTTGTAACACAGTAGAAAGTCCTCTCAGCAATTCCAAAACCCTTGCTTTTGCCTTGTCATTTGCCTCATGATACCTGAAGGAAAATTTTATAATATTCTTTCAATCATGAGTTGTATAATATAAAAAAATGCAAGATCTTGAGTGGATTCATAAACTTCCATAACAAACCTTAATAAGGCATCCTCCACTTTCATTGTGGTAAACCATTCCTCTCCAACCTTTTTACCTTTTGAGTCTAGAGCAGGCTTAAGCTGTTTAATTTGCTCTTCCCCAGGTGTGCCAGCCCATACTGCTGGTGCAAACTTTTTACCCTTAAACCAAACAGCTTCATGCTCTCGAGCATATAATATTTCACCCTTGGGGCCCCCAAGGGGAGCTGTGGTAGCTTTTACTCTTGAAATAATAGGGACAAAATCTTCAGCCACCTACAAAAATATTAGACGCCCAAAGACATGACATAAACAATGCATATGCCATAAAAAGGCCAAAAGAAGTTGAAAGAGGTATAATATACATTTATTTTAGGAGAAACTAAAAGATTAACATTTAAATAATCTTAAGAATGTTTTGTTTTAATTTCCATCAACCTTTTCTACTTTAGCTAGTGACAAATCCAGTGTGCTACCATCATCAACTGGAAAGAACAACACTGATATTGTTCATAGAAACCAGGAATAACCAGCATAAACAGAAAGATGTCTAGTGCCAGTAGAAAATTTATTTTCCTATAGACTTACTGCAGAAGATAAGGCCTCAGCTGCCCCTTCCACTTCTGCAAATTCTTCCTCTAAATGGATCTTCTTCACCCGACCTTTCCAGGAAAACTCCATGTCCTCAAAAAATTCACTAGGAATATTGGCTTTGGAACTTATCTTCTGATCAATTTCACCATCTAGAGAAATCATTTCAGCAATTCTCTCAGAAACCCATTCACATTCATTAACCTGGAAAAGAACAAGGACAGCTGAAATCATATGTATAGAAATTCAACCTTAAGAAACCATAATCAATTCCTAAAAGAATTAGATATCAATCAAAGACCATGCCTAAGTCAGAACCACTAGCAAAATAGAATACTTTTGAGGTTTTAAAATTACTCCAGTAACAGAAACCATATTTGAAATAAATCTCTAGAGGCTAAACAAAAAGCAAAGACTAGGAACTTGGTTAAGTCCTTCATTTCTATCATAGCAAGCAAGGCATGTAGCAATATCTAATGTGGTATATACTTACCAATGTTTGAGATTCAATTTTCAACCCAGTTGCTGCCCATGTAGGATCCATTAATAATTCAAGAATTTCATTGAGCTCAGTGCTTCTATACATGTGCAGTATTTCGTCAACAACATTTTTTATTCTACGGAACTGAATATGATTAGCCTCCCTTTGTTCAAGCAGCTTCACAAGCTACAGAGAAGAAGAATTCAAGGATTAGAAACAAAATGAGAATTAATAAATAAATAGATCCATATATATCCATAAATAAGAAGGAATTAGCAAGAGAAACCATATGCAAAAAGTTTTAACAGATACTAAGGAAAAAAAAAAAAAAAGAAGAATAACAAACTTAAATGAGGTTTTTCCTTTAAAAAATGTCTCTAAATGAGATAGAAAAAAGAGGGAAAAAGAATAAGACTTTTCCTCAAAAAGAGATTATAAAGAAACTAATAAGACTTTTCCTCAAAAAGAGATTATAAAGAAACTAATCACTTCCCTGTTCCAAGACACATTAAAAGCAACTTAACATGTCTCTTTAACTTGCAAGTCAATACATTCCAAACAGAAAGTTGCATTGCAGTCTTATACAACCAAACCCGTTAAAAAAGACACTAAGGCACTTTAATTGCATAGCATTGAACAAAGCAACAAATTTAACAACTTATAGTACAAGTGTACTAAAAAACTCAAAAAGGCCAAATGTTTGTAGGTGTAAGAAGGGTTTAATTCCAATTTTGTACCATGGAATGATAACAAGCATATTTTTGAAGAAGTACCATGTGGTAGAGAGGCTAAATTGCAAGAAAATTACAGAAATGACTGTCAAATCTACCCATATTGCCCTTTTTTACTTTAAATTACCTTAATCAAGATGCAGTTGCTATTAATTTTATCTTTTTGGAGCAGTCATTATAACATTTGCTTAATCAAGATCCAGTCATTATACATGAGGAAGATATTCATCCAAAAGTAATGACTTCAACGTATAAAATTCAGGAAACAAAAAATTGGATTCAGACCTTAGCAGGTGAGTCACAAGTAAACTCAGGAATTGAACACGTGACATTGCTCATAAGTTTGCAAGTTTCTGCTCCAAAATACAAGTTAGAATGTTAGATTAACCACTTAACACTTCTCAACATATTTGAAGTAAATAGTTCTTCTATGTTAACATAAGAAGAAGAAGAAGATTCTCAACTAATATTACTCCATTCCAAACCAATTTGACATTCCAATTAGTAAATTGGCAACAAGAATGAGTCTGATATCTTTAAGCAACACTGATACTTTTGCAAAAAACTAGGGAACTAAGAACAACAAATATCTATGGAGAAACACCCAAGAAAATATCTATGAAGAAACCAACAACATACCAGAGCTTTTTTTAACCACCCCAGTCTTTTTAACAACAATTATCATGTAACAAATCTCAAACAACAAACTAACCAATAGTCTGAATGATTTAAAATGAAACAGCCAAAAATATTACCAACATAAATCTTATTCAATGGAGTTATTAACTGGCCAAATAAAGTTAGAAGCAGCAATTCCTGATTAACTCATAATGGATAAACTAAGATCAAATAGAGTAAACGAAAATATACCAGTACTCTATGACTTTATGCAATATAAGCAAATAATGCACATTAGAACCCACCTTGAATTCTGGCTGCAATCTCATAAGCAGGAGGATTGAGAAGAAGATCTCTAATATACCTGAGAATTCAGCATCAACAACATTAAGGAGGCAACAATAATCTCAAATATTTGGAAGAGGAATAGCATCATAAGTATAATAAAAACTTGATTTTGCAGTCAAAAATAGGGAAAAACTGAAATAAAACTTTTAAAGTGATTAGTTAACTAAAAGATACAGACAATTAGTGCATTGGAAAAATTTTCTACCACACTTCACAATAGATTAAACCCAATACAATCAGTTTAACTACACAAAAAACCTAGTCTTGTGAAATAAATATAAAGATAATCAATTCTAATTTAAATAAAGCAGGGATAATAACTCATTGGCTTCATATCTGATGTACACCAATAAACTATGAACTATGAACTATGAAGGTTGAGCAACAAGAACCAGATGACAGTTGAATTTTAGAAAAGAAAAAAGGATTAAAATGGAGAAATAATGGACATCATTAATTTCATATTTTGTTTAAGCCCATAAATGTCCTAATTCAGTAAATTTCAGAGAAAACTAGAGCAGTTGTCTATGTTTAAGCCCATTTTTTTGTTTCCTCTCATCTTAAATACAAAAGTCTATCGAACAAAATGGATGAATGGTCCAAAATTAGCACTTTCACAAGGAACAGAGGGGGTAAGCCAAACTTGTGTTGCTCTCTCAGTTGACTGCAAATGAAAGCACAATCAAAAAGAAAATGCATGACAATAAATGAATCTACTGGGTTAAAAACATGAAACATTCTCTTCTAGACTAAACTGGGAAGAAAATGCACTCACAGTACAGGTAGCCCAGTGCAACTTGAGGGTAGCAGCACCTTCAATAAACAAGGTATTCCCTCTGTTGGGATGGCACCTAGAACAAAGCACGCCATGATTAATATTTCTTGCTATCACTCTGTAGTAGACAAGCAATTCAATAATGTTGAAATGAAATCAATCTAACCAATTTGTGTTGCAGTTCCTAGATGCAAAGGACGGGGTCTATTTTCTGAAGTGACAGTAACATTTCTGAAGGTAACTTCTTCATCAAGACCATAAAGCTCCTTCACCTAAAAATGATAGAGTAAAACCATAAGACATAACAATATTAACATATATAAAATACAAGAGATAATTAATTCATCTGAAATGAGAACCTTATACAAAATCTCAGTGATTGGATTGCCCTCAAACCATTCAAAATGTCTGGCAGTGCATTCCCCCCATAATAGACCTCCCTCACCATATTCCCCCCAACGACAAGTTCCTACAAAGAGCCTCTGAATAGTGAAAAATTGAATATGTGATTTGGAATCAAGAGAAAGGCTATAATCACATAAAAAACCTAGAGGCATAAAATCATAGAGAAGTCCAGTCCTTTCATTATGATAGTAATCAAGCTATCAATTCTATTATATAATTACACTCTTATCCTGACTGGAATTGAAAATTTTCATTAGTATATAATTTCAAAAATTAAAACCAAACTAAAAGTCAACCAATCAATCAATCCAAAATCCACTTATCTTATATCAAGTAATGAATGAACAAGATCAAAAATTTTATTTGCAATCTATAACCTGTACCATCAATAAAATTATCAATAGATTTCAGCTTGCCAAGGAACTGGAATGACAATGCTTATCATCTAGAAAGCATTGGTAGAAGGAATAAGATCCTTCTTCAAATTAGGCTCTAAGATGATGCTCAACATGCTCATATGTCACAAGATGTGGTCTAAACCTCTTTAAACCTCTAAAGAATCCATTGTGCCTTAGCCTGATGATATAAAGGGTAAAAAAAAAGCAATATTCCAAAAAGAGAATGTCATAAAACAATCTTCAAAAGTACTGGTGATTCATTCTAAAATGCCTTCAACAAAAAGAAGAGAAACACATATCTCATCCCAACTTCCCTCTGCCACATCTAATAGATCCTACAACACCCACCTTACGAATTAGTCTGCATTTGCTTGGGTTGAAGTGCATTGAGAATTACCCTTTTATATTTATGCAACAATAGAAATTTAAGACAGCTACACTCATTCAGCATCAGCAATATTGTGGATCTCCTTTTTCTTTTTTCTTTTCTTTCTTCTTCTTTTCTTTTCTTTTCTTTTCTTTTTTCTTCTTTTGTTTTTTTCTTTTCTTTTTGATGGAAGGATCTCACTGTTAAACGGAAGAGAAGTGCAAAAAACTGGCACTTCTCCACAGCCCTTACCTGCTCTGCCACCACCCTCAAACACAACAAAAAATAAAATAAAATAAAATAAAATAAAAACAAGGGGAAAAGAATGAATGATAAGAAACAAGGGTTCAAGGTTTGGGTTAATTCTGGGAACAAAAAACAGTTTCAAGTAGAAGAAGAAGCTCCATGTTATTTTCATTTAGGCAAATAATGTGATGGTTTCAAAATTCCAAACAAAAGGATCCCTTAATAGAAAATGAAATGATTGTTCAAACCTGAGGCATTGTTTCTCAAAGATGAGTGCAGAAATAGATGATGGAATTGAGAAGTGCGCAGCTTGGCGACCAGAGCCTCTTCAGTCAAACCATCTTCTGATGAATATGTCTTCATGGTCTCAAGGACAGAAGTTATGCAATACCCCCTTGCTGAACGTGATATTCCTAAAAGCAGGAGATACTTGCATAAGAACAGCAAAAGGGTCATCAAAGAGCCTTGCCAGTGAGAATGTGAGGTTCACTGACTAAAGTGAACATAATTTATTAATGGGCTCCTAAGCTAAAGAGTAATCTCACATTAAGAAACCAAAGGATCAAACAGTTTGATTGAACATATATTAACCCTTTTTCCAGGTAAAACAAAACAAGAAAACTAATTGACACACCCCATAGTCCTATATAGCACAAACTCTAATGCTAAAAACATTTACAACATAGCCTCTTCCATTAAAACAAACACCCCTGCCCCCTTCCCTCCTTCCCTTTCTCTGTGAAGGGAAGGACGGGTTCCACACACATTTAATTTCAACATTATTTTATTAGGGACATGACAGAAGCTAAGCTTAGATTGTATCCTAGCTAAAAAAAATATGACCTCACAAAATGCAATGACATTACAATCAAGTAAAAAAAAAAACAATAAAGCTACAGTAAATCATCTCAAAAGCACATTATCTATTAACATTATTTGAAATAAAGGCAACTGTCCATACCAACAACAGGTATTGGATCTGGAAACTCAAGATCATGATCAACCCCAACAAGTCCACCAACATATGGACTTCCTGGATGTGCATGCCTGAACTCAAAAAGCAAGTTAGAGCAAGATTAAAAGTCAGAATGCAACAAGTAACATCAAATGAACTAGAAACAATACCAAATACAATTTCTTAAGTTCTCAATTTCATGATAATATCTTAAAACAAACAATAGCAGAACCATCTTAAATGTTAGTTTAATTTCCCAACAAAAGAAGTGGTGAGACAGAGACACATTGGTGTTCCCTCAAACTGAATGTGGATATGCTAAAACAGGCCAAATTGGTCTCTAATTGGTCTAAATTATGGCATTTTAATGTCTCAAAAAATTACTTTAATCATGGGGCACTTGGACTGCTTTCATGATCAGTGAACCAGATCATAAAAGTAGTTGTCCATGCAAATGCTATTTAAACCTTAAGACAAATATCAATCTAGTATTCTCTAAGAGCCTTTTCTAAAAGTGAAGCAGCAACGGTATTTGCATATTAAAAAAGGAAAACTCAATCTAGTATTCTTTAAATGCCATTTCACAAGTGCAACAGCAACAGTATTTGCATATTAAAAAGGGAAAACACAAAGAAAACAACATATATATTTGTAAAGGCTCTTGAATTAGCACATTATCCTAAACCAAAAATTAGGGCATTGCTTGGAAAGTAAAGAGCAACCATAATCGTTTCCCAAAAGAGTTGTAAAATAACATCTTTTCTTCTGTAGAAGGTTTCAGGTAGATGAACCCAGAGTGGTTCCCATATTACACTTGGTCCCTTACATTCATCAGACCATCTCATAAAGCAATCTAAATGAAATGTTGAACCAGAAAAGCAACTCCTAGAATCATATAGTATCAGATTATCAGTAATCTTGTTAACTAATATTCCTTGTTTTCCCTTTCATATTCCCATTCACTCTTGGACATCCAATTATCCATCATCGTGGATTTTAATTGAACTGCAGTTACAGCACTCCTATTTCCATCAGCCTTTGACTTTAGATGCACGGAATCAAGTCCAATGGAATCTATATATATAACAAGATATTGCATCAAAATTTCAAAATGGATTAATAATATGATTACCCAGCTATAAAACGGCCTTTACGAGAACGTGCTTGTGTTGGACCTTGGACCTCCTCCACTATGCACTGCAATAAGAATGAAATATCAAAATAAAAATTTAAGAATAGCACCCCACTTGTCTTGCAATAACTACCCAGATATAACTAAGCGTAGATTGTCTGGCAAGAACTCCTATAATTTTTTCTCTAACTTAAGATAAAGTCAAATTCCACCAGCTAATTAAATCATCAGACAAAAATACCTGATAATTCATTCCAAGACAGAGGTTCCCAGCCAGAATCTATTTCCTTTTTCCACTTCAGATTTTTATTACAGTTACAGAGAGAAGATGCAATATGCTTGAAGCATGCATTTTCAGTGACAGTAGAAGATGCTTCAACCAATTATGCTACCATACTCACCACTGAATAACCATTACGTGTCAGGTCATCCAGAGTTTGTCGTAGATTCTGCAAAAAGAGCACTAGATCAGAATTTAACATGAGTAACAAAGAAAATAGATGAAGTATCTGCTTGTCTAATTAAGTAAAGCATAAAAAGATGCAGAGAGAAAATCAGTATAGGTCCTTAAAATTAACAAAACAGGTGCCACCGACCTTAGATGAGGATGTAATTTCTACAACATAGAACATGCATACTTGAAAAATCTTACAACAATCACCAGCCAATTGAGAATTTTAAGACCTGTAAAAGCCTTTAAGAAAAATACAATTGTTGAACAAATCTTTTATATTTTCATCCATTCCTCCTCTTCTCCCTCTGGAGGGAACAGGGATGAAGCTCATAAAGAAAGATATAAGTTTGACTGCAGCAGTGACAAGGATCCAATATAGAAGCATCAAACCATATGCATGCCATAAACTGGGCGGAATAATGGAAAAAGGATTCATGTGGTAGGCCACAAATACTTTGGGATGAAAGAAACTAGCACAGATCCAGAAAATTTATTCAATACCATGACAGGGCAGCCAGCTTTTGGAATACTGTCCGCACGAAGACCACCAAAAGGATTCAAACCAGCATATTCAACAAGAATGCAAGCATCTATTCCAATGGCTTCATAAAAATCTCCAACCTGTAACATAAAACTAAGTTGCAGCAACCATTGTAGCACATTAAATGACACAATTAAGGAATGATAGGTTAGAGTTCTGTTATATACTCTGCAGAGCAAAACTTCACGAGGAAACTTTGACTTGAACTGCAACATCTCCCAATTCAGCGTTCCTTCTTTTAGACTGCATTGGACACAGTTCATTTTACTGGCTTGAAAATTTTTTCCACAATGATGTCAAGCAATAAGGGATCTTACCTCCATTTTCATTCCCACCCCTGCCTAGAATTTGCTATCACCTTTTAAAAAAATATATATTTATAAATGTCCACTTTCAAAACCTAAGTGCTCGTTGCTTAAGCTTAAGTTCCTGTGCAATATTTTCTTATTCATCTTGATGGTAGGAAAATTTAGAAGTCACGTCACATTCTTAATGAAAATATTGTGGCCTACTCACTTCCATCATTTAAATATAAAGTTTTATGGTTAAATTTCAAAAAAAAAAAAAAAGTTCAGACAAGAAAAATCAATTTTATTGCCACAAAGATAAGGGAAGAGAAAAACAGTAAAGATGAGAGTTGGTAATTAAAATAGGGAACGAGAACTTTAAGAATCTATATGATTTACCTGCCATTTCTCAAATTAATATCCAGGCCTAGAAGATTGTTATATATGAGCCTCTTAACCAGATGGAGAGTTGAAGGCTTCCTGCAAAGCTCCAACCTCTGTAATTAAGAAAGAAAAGTCATCAGATCTGACTGCAAGACATGACGAAATTCAATAAACAGATCAAACAATTAAATAAAAAAGAACAAATGAGTCACACCTCTTTCCACCATATCATGTTGGAGAGGTCCTTATCATCCAGGGCAGTATTTGGTGCTTTAAATTTCCTAGCAGTTTTTGTGCCTCCTTTCAAAACCTTCTGATTTCTGAAACCACGAATATCTACAAACTTCCTGGCACTGTTTTTGATAAACACAATTAGAAACAAAAGTCTAGAATAAAAAGGCATCATATCGCGAATCAAACACAGTTCGTGGAATACGAGTCGACTACAACATGATGTAATGGTGCTTGCTAAAGCAATGGCCACTACACTGCTAACCACAAGACTCATTTCATAGCCCGAAGAATGCGAAAAACAATTGCATCCGATTATGATATGGAGTCTGCACAGAACTTTAAAATTTTTAACGAAGGTAGAAATGTTCATAATGCTGAATTTCAGAACGCTAACATTTTCAATGAAATGGAAGGGAGATATTGCGTCGCAACAGAGCCCTCATCCTATAGCGAAAAGCAACTTCGCCATTAGAGGTTGAGAAGGTTACTTAATCCAATTGGATAACAACGAGAACAAGAAGAAATACTTGTCATGTGTATAAGACAACAGAAATAGAGAGGAATAGAGAGAGTACGGAAGCGGGGAGGAGCCGAACGAGGCGAAGTTCCGACGAGGATGACGGAGGAGAAAGGCGAGTGAGCGCCACTTAGGGATGGAGACGACGACATTCCTGGTGGCTAACCAGTACATGGTAGCGGAGCGGGTCTTGAATTTTGCCGCTGCGCCGGAAGGATGATAGGAGACCAGATTTGGAAATTTCTAGGGTTCTCACGTTGTTTTTTGAGCTAAAGCACTTTACAGTGTCCGAGTGCCTCATCCGTTTCCTTCCCGCCACGAACCAAAAAAAATAAAATAAAATAAATAAATAAATAAATGGTAAAATATGTTTCGCCTTTTACCATTTACCACCAGGGGTTAGTGTAATCCCCAAATCACCCCCAGCAACTTAAAAAAACCCAACCTTTTTATTTATTTATTTATTTATTTTAGCTATTTAATTGCTTGATATTTTAAATTTCAACCTCTAGTTACTAAAATTTGTAAGTCAATGAGTATAATGTCGACACTTGTAGCTAAAGATCAAACCATTCCTGAGTATAATTGTATTAGGTTTAGCAAACTCTTTTTTCCCATAAAAAGGAAAAAAAAAAAACCTTTTTTTGAAAAAAAAAAAATACCAAACACTAGCTATTATGGTAGTATTGGTTACTAAACACGCTCTTAAGAGGATGCTCAAATACTTGAATTTTAATTTGTAGGTTAAGATTCAAATTTTAAGTCGAGTATAAATAAATTTGAAAAAATAAAGGTTATATTTTTTATATAGTAATGATACATTAAAAATTAGTTATTAATTACTATAAAAAAATTTTAAAAATAATAATAATAAAACTATATCCAACAATCTTTCTTAAACTATTTAGAAAAACTAGTTGTTAAGTAGTATTGCATATGATTTTAATCAACTATGACTACATGACTAAATTAAAGAATAAGCCAACAGGGCAGTAAGCCTCTCTCCCTAGAAGAATCAAAACTGAACCTAATTTTTTCGTCTTCCACGCTGTAGATACTCACATTATCATCAGTATTTTTTCTGAGTTTCTTCTCATTTCTCCAGTAATCACTGGTGTGGTAAATGAAATTCTCTTTGAACCACTTACAATCTTTAGCCTGTATCGAGACCGAATGATTTCCACCCAAAAACAACGATCTATCTCCCAATGTTTCCAGCTCCACCCACTCCTTGTTTTCTAAATCCAACTTGTACAGATCAAACAATCCTGTCTCACTCTTATCAAACGTAGATGTAAAGCTCACAATAAGCAGCATCTCCGCACCAAATTCAACCAAGTAACATTTACCTGAGCCAAGGTACTGTTCGGATTTCTCAGGAAGAGCAGCGTCAATGGTGGTTGTTTTTTCAGGACAATCACCTCGTAAATCCCAAGTAACAACAAACCCATTTCCTTGTAATGCATGAAGCTGATTTCCGTTGCATATGATGTCTTCATAATTTTCATCATCTGTAATCTGAGAACCAGGGACTTCTTTCCATGAGGTGTCACCATTGTTATAGAATCCAATGCTGTAGAATCCACATTTATGGTCCAGCACCATGAAGACCATGTAATGATCACCACCTACAGGTTCCCTACTCAGAATAGCTTTTTCTACAAAACATGGCCAAATCATGTCATGTTTTACCTGCTTCTGACGATCCCGGATTTGAATTCTATACCTTCCCGGCGGCCGAACAGTTTTTTCGATTGTGGATATGCCTAATGTTGGGATGAGTGAAGGAAGTTGGATTTGGACATTCGTGAAGGGGTTGAACAGAAACGGGGTAAAAGTTACGGGGTCCAAGTTAATCAGCCAGCCTTGTGATGAACCGATACAGGGGAAGTCGCAAAACAAATCTGATGTTGCCCTGGGCAGATCATAAACGATGTTGTCTTCGAGATTCATGTAGCGGAAAGAACCACTGCGGATTCGATCGTAGTAACTAGTGTAGAGTACTGTTTCGTAGTCTTTGGGAGGAAGGAGGAGCCATACGGGGCACTTTGAAGAGAGACCGGCTTCTGCTGCAGATAATTTCGAGGTAGAAGCGTTTGCTGTTGCGGGTACTTGGTCCATCATCTGCAGGCGTTCTAAGATGGCTCCTCTGAGATGGTTAGGAAGTTCTAGTAGAGATAAGAAAGTATTTGCTGGTGAATTGTTAGTTTGAGGGTTTAGTAGAGAGGTGAAAGTTTTTATAGCAAAACTAAACCCAAATCCTTGGAGGAATTGAAATTCGGAATGACAAGAAATCTCTTTATTAAAGAATTCCTTCATCACAAAGGATACCCCACTAAATTATAAGTATAAGGATACTTTAACAACAAAATTTGACAATATAACAACCTACTAGTTTGTTTTCATTGACTCTTATCCCTCTAAGAGATGCGTAAGTGAAATCACAGAATATCAACACAAGTGTCCCAGTCACATGACAATAGGGTACATCGTGCATAATAAACTACATGTATGATCTATCATGTCTATTTATAAATTTTTAAGGTTTAATTTTAAATTTTACTAAAAGTATGACATAAATTGATGCTTGGTAAAATGCTCAAGGACTCTAATGCAATTTCTCCCACATATGGAAATAACAAAAGATATTGTTTGTGCAATTAGCAGGATACAACGCTTACCCTTGAATAGCAGACACTTGAAATTGGGCTATCCCTATCCAAGCACCCTGTTTTTCAATTCTATCTTTAGAAATAACCTACCTACGGTACAGTTTTTTTTTTTTTCTTTTTTTGGTACATAGGTGTCTCCATTTTAATTTTTTGCAAATCTCCACAATAATTCTTTACTAAATGATGTTAAGGGAACATCCTAAATCAAACCCAAGACTTGAATTGAACTTGACTATGACTGGGAAAAGACACCACCTTTCAAGGGAAACTAACAATTGGTCTTACCTACAGTACGGTTAGCAGCTGGATGCGGACGACTTCTACAACGGTTGACTCGTAATTAGGGGGGTTACAAGAAGGATGATATATGATAGCCTAAGAAGAAGATTCAAATTCGTCTGCCAAATTCTAAAGCTGATACCTTTGTTTAGAGGCATGGAGATTCAGCAATCACGGAGGCTGAGATTCTCTTACAAGAATGCAACCATAGTATTGACCATATTGAATGCTCTGTTCTTGCTTCGAGGGTTTCTCCCTTTTGCCTCTACCCGCACCAAGCTCTCTTTAAACCACCCCAATTCAGGTTCGTTTCTTTCTCATTTGAATCTTTTGGTTACTTTTCTGGTGCAAGAGAGATTATTTTCATATGGGTTTTTGAGAATTTATGCCTTTGCCCTTTGTTGCTTTGGAGACTTGATTGCAATTCATTTACGGACCTTATCTGTCTCAATTTGTTTGAGGTCAGGTTTTGAATTGAGCCCTTTGAAACCTTGAATAACATTTTTAATCACATTTAGCATTTTCCTGGGTTCACACCCTCAAACTATTGTTCTAAAGAATCAATCTGCCCTTTGGACTGTTATTCCAGAATGTGCCTTTTCATTTCAGAAATCCTCTTGCTTATACCTTGGTTTGAATTAATTGTCTACTCGTGTGTAATTTGTTCCTTCTCTTTTATGGACTTTTTCAGCATCATATGTCTAAGACTAGAGTAGTGATAAAAGGGCATTTTCCTTTCCTGACATGTTGATGTTGCCTTAATAAATACTTAAGCAGCTATGTTGTGTTTGTCTAGCTAAGGACTTTGGATCAACCCACTAATCAAATTCACAAAGTTTTAATTAGATTAAACCAGACGTGGGCTGTTCTTGTTGTCTGACTCCAAAACATTGCATATGATATATTGTTTCTTTTTAAAGGTCACTGTTTCTGAAACATGCACGCTTTTGTTTTCCATTTCTTTTGTTAGCTAAGTATGTGCATTATCTATGCACTAAGAATTGTCTGAGCATAAACTTTTTTGTGTCTGATGCAGTTGACCTAAAGTATATCAAAGAATCTGAAGAGATGCGTCTTGCTATGCAACCTTTGGAACTCATAAAAAGAGTAAGTGTAACATAAAGTCTCCTTTGGAAATCCTGATTTTATTTTATCAAACGTGAATTTGTATGATGTTTATTAGATGGTTGGTACTTTGTTTATCTCATTATCCACACCTCCTTATTCTTTTGGATTTTAGGGTCATTGTTTGTTTAAGGTTTTGATGTGTGCAGCTCCAATGAAGTTGATGTTGTTACATTACATTCTTGAAGTTACTTTAAAATTGCCATTGCTCGTTGGATACAGTGCATATGCTATGAGGTTAAATCCTTCTTATTTTAGGTGAGGGAGATTGAGCAAGAGGCATATGCTGAACCAGAGGTGGACCAGCAGAAAGAAGCAAAGCAGACTGCAGCACTTGATCTTTCTAAAAGGCTAAAGGACTTCCGTTCTTTAAATGATGCTGCCAACTTTAAAGGTGACCAACTCTCCCCTCTATTCCACCCACAATCTCCCACTCTCCCACTCTCCCACTGTCACCTTTCCCTTTTTCTCCACTCTCTAATTGATTCTTAATTTTTTTTTTTTGAAATAAGGTCTTTTTTGTCCAAACACTGATACTGCTCTGTTATCTTTGTGTGAATGAATATCTTGAATATAAAGCTTCTCTGTTATATTTGTGTAAATGAATGTCTTTAAAATAAACCTTTCTTATCATTTGTGCAAGTTTCTTTGCATCATTGACACTACAGATTTTAATTAGACACACTCACTTCCTGACCATAAAAAGAAAGTTCTGTTCAACTATACTTGTTCCACACTCATCAGTGTGATGAAAATCATTCATAAAATTGTAACTTGTCTTGCATTGTAGACATCAGTTCAACTCAGTGGTGCATAAACACATTCAAAACAACTTATTCTGTTTGGAATTTTTGGCCTCATTTTTCACCTCATGACTAAAAGGTTCAACCTACAATCACCAGTTAGTATTTGCTTTGTAGACCACTATGTTTGTTGGAAATCAGATACAGTTGGTGAACTCAAGTCACAATTTTCTGTCTTCCCTTTATTCCACGCGTTTTGAAGAGAGGGTCTTTCCTTATTGTCAAGGATAACAGCTCAGGCTTAATATCAGGTTGTTCCCATCCTGTAGGGGGGAGAGGGTCAAAACCCCCTCTCCCTCTTTCACCCTCCCAAATGTATATCAGTGGAGGCTATGTGGCATTTATATCCAAAAATTGATTCTTTGCAGATGCAATGCTTCCCATAGCACCCAGGGTCCATATTAACTTACTGAGTAGGTTAAGATGTCATTTCTTAGTTATACTTTTAGAGCAAATATACAATTAGCATTCGGTGCTTTTACGTTGCTTGTATAATGTGCTGTTTCTTTGACATTTCAAGTCTTGATGCTTATGTTGCAAATATTTTTCTTCCAACTTTTTACCCAAGATTTCGTTCTAGCTTTCAATTTTACTAACATCAGCAGACTCTTGCAGCTTTGGAAGAATGGCGAAAACGGAAGATGGAACGGGCTAGACTAAGGGAGCAGGAGAAAAATGAAACATCTGCCTCTCAAGCTTGACCTAACTGACAATAAGCAATACCACTGCTGAATATATGGACTATATAATTCGCTGCATGAAATTTGATACTCATCCCAAAACTACCATTAGACGGGTATATGGCACAAATGTGAATTGAACACTCTTGTCTAAACTTGAATTGTGAGATTTAGCACTCTGAATCTTAAATTTTTCCTAAAGTGTCAGGCATCTAAACTACTGGTTTGGTACCCCATACAAGTGTGGGAAAAAGGCATCAAATTTGAAGGGTGATGATCTAATTAAGAAGAGAATCTGTTCACTAACTTATTGTTCATTTCTTAACTTATAACAAGGGGGTGAACTTCTAGGAAAGTCACACAAAAGCTGATTTATAATACCAACTAGATGCCTAAAAAAGAGATGATCGTTCCACGATATTGTAGACATTCAAAGAAGGCAACAAATTGAGTGCATGATAATTATTATTATTATTATTATTATTATTAAAAAAAATAAAACCCATTACTTATAATGGCAATCTAGTCCTTGTGTTTTCATTGATGCTCAAGTCAAGTTCAGTGAAATGGATTATCATAGAAGGTAAGAAGAAAATGAAAGGAAGTTTATTTATTTATTTATTTTTAATTCATATATATATGTATATATATAAAAAAATGATGAAAGGAAGTTGAGACAAGTACATCACAGGAAAGTTAAATCCTGGAGTTTCAGCTGGAGGCGCGGCATCTGTGCAAATTCTCCAGCGCCATTATACACAGAAAACCTATTTCATACATTGATAGAAACAAAAAGGAAATTTAGAACAGAAATCCTGTACAGGCTTACAATTCCAACAAAAAAGGTACGTGGGTTAAAGGTTCAAAGTCGTTTATGAGCTTACAAGGCCACATGGTGGCAAGTCCCTGTGATATCGAGCATACAAAGGCTTCATTCTACACTTCTGGAGAGGACATAACTGTTGTCAGTTGAAAACAAGTTGTCAAAGACTCCCTTACCTGCTTCCCTTTCTGATGTTACCTAGTTACCTCGATAACCTTTCTGGAAAGAGTAAAGGCAAGAGAAAGATAAAGACATGGTAGAAGATAATCTGGGTCATAGTAAAGATAAAGCAGTGCTAGAAGGTAACAGGTCAAAGTCATCAGGAATGTCACAAAGACGATGCTCATGACCAAAGAACTTGGTATGTATAATAGATTGATCACCTCTCTTTACCTGCAAAACATAATGTAGAGCATCAATCATTTTTTCATTATGTACAAAAAAAGGGACTTTAAACAGACCAAATTTAGAAACTATGAGTTTTATAACTGATGTGAATACCATCCAACTTGTAATTCTATATGAGCAAACTTGATAGAAAACATGGAGTAACAGCTTCTTGTCAAGTCCTCAATTTTCAAAACAAAATAGGAAACAACTGCCTTAAGCTACTACTTAAGGAATACAATTCAAGTAATGCATAAGAAAACACAACATTCAATGTAAACCCTTACATTAAATGCAAAAGAAATTTTTTCAAAAACTTGTTAGCATTTGCCTAAAAAAACCTGAACAACAAAACAGCATATAATCCCAAAACCAATTTATCAGCTCCTTCCTTTAGAGGAACAAGTTGTCCATTGGCAGATTAGTAAAACAAGTGTTCCAGAACATTATCAGTCAAATAGCAATAGGGCATTCCCAAAACAGCTATGTACACATACATACCAGTCCATTCATTCATAATTCTTACTAAAGAGAAGGTATATATTATTGACAGTGCATTTACAGTTCCATTTCTTTTCCTAAAATGGTTAAATAAATAGAAAAGACCACCAAATCCAAACAGGTTATACAAGGACAAAGATCCTTCTCCAAAACAGAAAAAGATTCAGAAAATGGGACAAATGTCTCATCCTGTTTCATATATTTTAACTTAGCATTTGATGCAGTGTGGATTTGTGATGGCACCCAAACTAAATATTCAGAAAATATTAAGCTAGTGATTTTCCCCCTTAGGTTCATGATACACTGATACTAAAATGTTTTCCCTTGGCAATCATATAAAATAATAATTAAACTCGTTTGCAGCAAAATAAGATTAAGAGAAATTTATACCCAAAAATAAGTCTTTCAGAAGACTTCCTCAAGCCATAGATATTAAACTTACAAGATCTTCACTATCATAGACTAACAAAATCCTGCAACCGATAGAGATAATTATTTCATCAGTGCAACTGTGCAAGACTAATTAGTTTGCCCAGGAAAGGAAAATAATATAACACTAATAGTTAATCACTGTAATATAATGGTATAACTAAGAAAGGTCTAAATGAATATTTGCCTGCTATTCCTTATTAACCTAACATTATTTTAATACCCAGACATTAGTCATATTTTGACAATTTAATTAACTCAATTTAATTAACTGACTTCCCATATAAGCATATACTCACTAAGTTACCAGGAAGCACAAACATTGTAGATTATATAGATTATATGCAAGCAAAAACAAATGAATGATATCAAAAACATTAAAAAGGCTAAGCCTGTTCAAATCTTCACTTAACAATTTCATTTATGTCAACTAGTCTTACGCTGCCCATTTATAGACTCTAATTCCAAATAGATTGTTTTGACTTTTAAATATTTCATCAACCAAAATGAAGAGAAAAAAATAAAAATAAATAAAAATAAAAAACCACCAAAATGATCAGGTCTTTGTTGCTTAATTGAACATGAATTAAAAAATAATTGTATTTAAGAATGATAAACAAAGCTCAGCATCCAGCAGGCATATTTCAAGAAACATCAGAACCGATTGAGACTTATGTGGCTTTAAGTCATCAACACAGCAAGACAAACTAAATGTCTAAATCACCTCCACAACTTTAAGCTTACATTACCCAGCAATTCCTTTTCTATATAATTCATCCTATTTACCAAAATATACCAAAAACATCGAGTTTATAATTTATATGGATGCAGTTTCAGTTGGAAATAAATGTCATAAAGGTCCATTTTAAACCAATGGCCAAACTCATTTAGCTGAAAATTTTGAGTCATGTACATAAGTTTCAAAAGAGATTCACAAGAGCACATCCAATCTTGCTTTGCAAAGAATTCTTAGTCATGATGTCAAATTAACCTACAACATTTCAGCGTTAACTAGAGCACCTTGCACCAGGTCAAAGTAGACCAAAAGTGTTAAGTAATAGAGGTATAAGATATAACGTTTAATTTACTTGGTTTTAGCTATTTTTTAAACTTTTGATGCAATAAAAAAACCATGGTTGTAGGCCATAGGGTCCATAACTCATCTCATTGAGAATTCTTAGTCATGGCAAGGCATGATAATTCATTTATCTTCTTTCCTTATCAAGTTATTTAAGACATAGTATGGTAGGCAAAACAGACAAGCACAAATTTTCTAGTAGAGAGACTCTTCCTATATCTATTGAAAACAGAAAAGAATGAACGAGATTATAAGAGTTGCAACAAGAAATGAGTGAAAAACACTTTTCTGAAGCTGAAGACAATAAATAAATTACTTTGATTCTGAGAATCAAGGATAGATTAGGTCACAATACCCTGAATCCAATATAACAAACTAAGAAATTTAACCCAAGATGATGACATGGTTTATTTATCAAGTAAGTTTGATTGCCATGCTTCCCTTGGCTCCTAAGCTTTGTTAGCCAGAAAATCTTAGGAGAAATATTTCATAGACTTTTGTAAGACATGGAATGATAAATAAACAAAAGATACCAATAATAAGTACATCTAAATTTTCAAAACTACAAAAAGTCAAACACCAACGGAGCTTCCATAAAGATGCATATCAGCACATGAGAGAGATTGTCAACAACAGAACATAATATTTAGAACAAAGGCAAAGCAACTGCATTCTTAACAAGGCGCACAGGCGTCCTCTTATGTGATATGCTAAAGGTTCCATCCTCCATATAAAATTTCAAAAGGAAGACCATTTTCTAGCACCAAGAAATAGGCTTACCTTGAACTACAACAAAAAAGGAAAAGAATAGAATAGAATAAGACAGACATCAATTTCTATCCAAACATGAGATGGATTGTGGTCAGAATC